TCTTAAAGATACGAAAATGTGGTTTTTAACTTCTGATGTATTGATGCTGAAATTGGTATCGAAGGTGATAAATTGTTGCAATTTCTTGCAATCTGAACACCAAAAGTTGTTTTACCTTGATACTTATGAAAAAAAGGTCAACTTTTTGTTTCTAATGAGCTCAAATGTACCAACTCTGTTTCTGATTCTGCATAAATTGATCGTAGTCTAATTCTAAATTTTGGCAAAAAATAGTGCTTCAGATTTTTTATTCTGCTCCTAATTTGACTTTTAACACTCTTTTTAACTATTTCTAGTTCAAAAAACCTCTCCTTCTTCGAAAATCAGTTTAATTGACTAACGACTCGAGAATTTCAAATTTTATAGGTTTTCGTTCGTGATTTTGTCCCGAGTGCTCTAGCTTTCCTTATGAACGGCGAGCCGGACATTGTGAAGAACTTCCTTCTGAAAACCCTTCAGCTTCAAGGGTGGGAAAAAAGAGTAGACAGATTTAAGCTGGGTGAGGGGGTCATGCCAGCTAGCTTCAAAGTGCTTCACGATCCAGTTCGAAAAACAGATACGATTGTGGCTGATTTTGGGGAGAGCGCAATCGGACGTGTGGCCCCAGTTGACTCTGGCTTCTGGTGGATTATTCTTTTACGTGCGTACACAAAGTCAACCGGAGACCATTCTCTGGCCGAGACGCCCGAGTGTCAGAAAGGGATGAGGCTTATCTTGGCTTTGTGTCTTTCAGAAGGCTTCGACACTTTCCCTACTTTGTTGTGTGCTGATGGTTGCTCGATGATTGATCGTAGGATGGTAAGATGACTTACAACTCTCTCTCTCTCTCTCTCTCTCTCTCTATCTCTACACACACACACACACTAAATGAGATAGTTGAGAAGCTTATTAAGGCAACTTCTTGAATGCATGTAAGAGAAGGACTTGATGGGGTTTTTTGACATAGTAATGGAGGCAACTTTTGTTTTTGGGAGTTTTGCATAGTTTATAATGGGTAACTATGGAAATTTAACTCCACCAAAAAATATAAAGATGAAAAAAAGGAAGGAAGGTGTTTATTTTTAAGAAATGCTCGTGAGTTATGGTTTTGCTTTAATTTAATATGGGGAAGAAGTAATGTTCCTATAAATGTTATTGTGGTTTTTTGAGATTTATGTGGTTTATGAAAGGGAGAAAGATTGGAACATATTCAATCTAAATGAGGTTTTTGTAATTTTAAAATATAACTTTTTTGGTAACTAGTCCAAGGTTTACATGTTTTGGGGTGTGATTTCAACTTTTATCAGCAATGAGTTTTATCCATGTTTTCGACATTAAATTTACTTGATGATTTGCTTTTTCTTCTTCCCCTTCATGATTGTTGCTGTTAAATTGAAATATTCCAAATTAAGGCATACACAATTCCTCGTTGTAAGACATAAAGATAAAAAAAAAAAACCCGAAACAACACTGTAGAATGTTCTGATTCCTCAGCCAGATCAAATAATGCCCTATATGACTGTCGAAAATATCGACTCTAAATTTTTTACTACACATTACATTCATTTTTTACCTCGGTAAAACTGACAGGGCATATACGGGTACCCGATCGAGATCCAAGCCCTCTTCTTCATGGCCCTCCGTTCAGCACTGTCCATGCTAAAGCACGACACAGAAGGCAAAGAGTTCATCGAGAGAATCGTGAAGCGGCTTCACGCTCTAAGCTACCACATGCGCAGCTACTTCTGGCTCGATTTCCAGCAGTTGAACGATATCTACCGCTACAAAACAGAGGAATATTCCCACACGGCAGTCAACAAATTCAACGTAATCCCAGATTCCATACCCGAGTGGCTCTTTGACTTCATGCCCACAAAAGGCGGTTACTTTATTGGCAATGTAAGCCCGGCCCGCATGGATTTTCGGTGGTTTGCTTTGGGAAATTGTGTTGCTATTTTGTCTTCCTTAGCCACACCTGATCAGGCCTCGGCTATTATGGACCTTATTGAGGAGAGATGGGAAGAGTTAGTAGGGGAAATGCCTTTGAAGATTTGTTATCCGGCAATCGAGAGCCACGAGTGGCGAATCGTGACTGGCTGTGACCCGAAGAACACGAGGTGGAGTTATCACAATGGGGGTTCTTGGCCAGGTTCCTTTTTATTTTTATCTTTTTTTTTCTAATATTATACTCTTTCGTTTAGCGGGTTTTAATAGGTTTTATTACAAGATTAGCCAGATGATATAGTATAGTTATCGAGGAAAATAAAGTTGATATCTTTACAGATTTTGCATGATCATCCCGATACTTGGGTTTTTTTGCAAATTCAAGATACTCAAGTGGGATTTTCGTAATTTTGGAAAATAATTGTTTCTCCGGTTTATGTTATAAATAAACCGAGCGAGCGCTCATGGATAGTATATTGTAAATTTTTCTTTTAGTAAATTACAATAAAATGATCACTCGGGTCTGTTCATGGGTTGGAAAGGGTCCACAGTAAAATCCGCCTTTCTCCTTAAATTGCAATAAAATTATCCAAATTCTTGTTTTATTTTACAAATTAAAGATACTTAAGTGGGATTTTTCGTAGTTTTGGAAAATAATTGTTTCTCATGTATATGTTATAAATCGACCGAGTGAGCGCTCATGGATAGTATATTGTAAAATTTCCTTTTAGTAAATTGCAATAAAATGATCACTCGGGCCTGTTCATCTGTTGAAAACAAACCTAGCTTGGATAACAATGCTTTTTGATGTTTATATCAAATGATATGATGTATTTCAGCTCTAGTTTAACCCTTCGAAAAATGTAGTCTTTTTTTTTTCTTCATGATATTTTCCTTAAAACATTTTAGAATATGAAAAAATGCTTGCTAAAAAATCTCATCCTTTGGGAATACAGTGCTTTTATGGTTGCTAACAGCCGCATGCATCAAGACCGGACGCCCTCAAATAGCAAGAAAGGCGATTGACCTTGCTGAAAGCCGTCTACTGAAGGACAGCTGGCCCGAATACTATGATGGAAAATTAGGAAGATTCATAGGTAAGCAAGCTAGAAAATACCAGACATGGTCTATTGCTGGTTATCTTGTTGCGAAAATGATGTTAGAAGACCCGTCACACTTGGGAATGATTTCCCTTGAAGAGGACAAACAGATGAAGCCTGTTATCAAGAGATCCTCCTCGTGGACTTGTTGAGGAGTTACAAGTAAAAGTCGAGAGCTTCAAAATAGGTTAAAAAAAAAAAGAAGTATAATCCCTTTAGGAGGAGAGTAAGGCGAGACAATATTATTTTTTACATTAAAGAACAACGCGACTTCATTCTTTTGGCGGATTCTACGCTCATTCTTGTGTACATTAGTGTGTCTAGCAAGACTATCCATCTTTTTTCTTTTTCTTTTTTTTATCCTTTTTCTTTTTTTTTTTGCTATTCTTAGAATAAGAATGAAGCTTGTGATGTTTTGTTCTTGATTCTTGAAAGGTAACTTTTGTGGTTTGAATGAAGCTTTTGTTTGTTTCCTACTTAGAGGTGGTCAAACTCAGAGTGCTAAAGAGAGAGATGACATATGCAGGCAGGCTATGTAATTTATGCATTTTGATGAGAGATCTTATTGCGAGGAATACATATGTCTAGAATATATGCCTCAATTCAAAATATCTTTCTCACCCAACCAATCTAGTTTGCAAAAAAATCGCAATTTACTTGGTAAGTAGTATGGGATTTTTAGTTTGCAAAAAAATCACAATTTACACGGTATGGGATTTTTTATGTTAAATGATTTTCAGTAGTTTGTAATTTGTTAAAAAATTAATGATTGTTAGAGTTCCCGGCATTAACTAACATAAATGACATTATTTAGTTGGCATTTTGTGTTTTGCAATTTTGCCCACAAGAAAAGTGACTAATCTTTTAATAAATCTTTGTATATCGATTATCGGTCATTGTTAGGATGGATTCATGGAGATAGGCTAAATTTGGTGTTATTTTGCTTACTAAAGAAAGTCGTGTGATTACTGTAATTGATTAATTTACTTCTCTTTTCAATACATTGCTTGGACCGTTAAAAGGTCCCATGGTTATATGGTTAAGAATTTAAAATATATAATCAAAGAATTTCATTGGAAAAAATCACTAATCTATTAGAGCATCATCACTAAAAACCTTCTTACCGGTGAAAAAACCTGTTACAATGACATAGTTCAAAGACATACCAACAAATATGCTTATTGATGTAAACATGAAATCAAAAACAACCATTTCCAAACAAAACGTGCAAGCAAACACTTCCAATTTTAAGCAAATGCTTGAAAACCCAATAATTTCTTTAGAAAACCAGTAGATTCCCGGCTATTCTCACATCTAAAACAAAGCATCCCAAAAACTTATTACAGAAAACGTGCATTCAACAACAATCGATAAATTTATGCCGAGGCAGTTTTCCTTTGCTGAAAGATAACTGCATATATGGGTACCCCAACACCAATGCTGAATGCAGTAAGTACACCGAGAGTCATTGTAAGTTTCTGGTTTTTCATCTGGTCCAAGTTATACATGTGCTTTGCGTGAAGGTAATAAGGCTCGTCATGCACGTGTCCTCCTCCCATATTCTTCACGCTTGTTGAGTGAATCCCTCTATTCACTGTAAGAAAAAATATTTTTCCATTATGCAGAGAAAATGTCGATAAAAGCAGTTATCTGGTCAATCCATATCAGTTGCTCATATCATATGTTATTGATCTTGATGTAAGAATGTAACACTTTCATGCTTTGCATTGAAGAAATTTGATTTTATAGTTTATTGTCTACTGTCTATTTGAGAATTGAGGTGCACAAATCCAGATGGTCTTTACAAGTCAGGCATGCGAGACAGATGGATTGAAAAAGGATTTGTGTCTGTGTTTTCGAAAGATGAGACTTCTTTATGTTATGCTAGTGAGGAAAGGAAGCACAAGATGGATTGATATAATGCAAAGGACCATTTTAGATTTTCAAATTGTATTCGATTAGATAGAAACGACATGAGTTTGATTTCAGCTTAAATTAGGTATCTATTGTGGGTACCATCTCAGTCAGCGCACATGTAAGTTGTTAAGTATGAAAAAACAAATGCAGGACACCCGATGCATCAATACCAACTCGGCATGAACAAAAATGCATTTTTTATACTTTGGTATGTTAGCTAGCTGACATTCACACAAAACAAGTAGATACCTGCTACTAGGTCAATTATATCGAGTCTCGCTACTCTAATAGAAAACTTTTCACTCTGGCTTTAAGGCGAAAAGTCAAAATTTCAATGGCAGTGATTGCAAAAGATTGCAAAGCGTGGATGACATGCATGAAACTCATCCAATCAAATAAGACACTAGAAAGTAAATAAGAATAAGAATATGAGAACTTAGAAGAAAGAAAATTAATCAAAGATGACACATAATCATGAGTCAATCTTGTGAATTATAAGAACCAGTAAACACTTTGTTTACATTCGTTACACACGAGTTAAGAGTTTAATACTCCTCTTGAAAGGCATTGAACATATCAGTAAAATCACACACACTGTCCAAAATAACACTCATTTAAGAAGTATAAAGCATAACCCGTAAAAACAACAGAAAGCCATAATGACAACCACCAAAAGTCATTGGTCAAGCATCACCAACACTTGTATTCCCGATTCTCTTTTTCTTTTTCCATAAGAAAAAATGCTGGAGAAATCACAAAGAAAGATCCAATAAAACCTTACAACTAACAACCCCTGATCAAATAGACATACATATCATGGATAGATAAAAACACGAAATCTTTAGTCTAAAACTATTTGTGCACATAGGACACGAGCCAGAGCTCAGGAATCATTTTGCTTTCTTTGCCCAAAGATGAATAAGATAACCTGCTCATCCAATGCACCTAACAAAAAAATCTCATCAGCTACCCAATAACTATACCATAAATGAAGAACCGATACCACCAGAAAATCTAGTACAAACCATTCAATCCTATCATAACAACAACAAAACCAGGGAGCAACAAACAGATCCAGCAACTATCCTCCGAATTTGCACTCGAAATAACTAAATAATCAAACACAGAAAACAAAGAAAACCAAAAGATCCAGCAACCATCATCAAGTGAATGAAAATTAGCAAAAAAAAAAAAAAATGGTCGGATCGAGAAATGACACCTGATTTGGGAGCAATCGATGGAGAATGAGAATGACTCAGTAGATTGGAGGTGCAAAATCTCAAACCGCCCTTCATCGCCATCTTCACGTGAAATCTAGTTGCAGAGATAATAATTGTTGAAGGCCAAACAAAAATGGATGAAAAAAATTTGGAGCTGGAGACGAGGGTTCGATTTTGATGGCCATTCTTATACTTGCACCACGTGTGAGTCGCACGTGGGATGCTTGTTTGGGCTTAATCTATAGGCTAGGCCCAAGCTCATACTTGGAGATGGGAATTGTTGACCAGACGACTTGCTCGAGTTTCATTATTGCTCGTTTAGGTGTTAGGCTTGAATAATACTAGTGTTTTTACATAATTATTTGAATTTTTAGAATAATTTGATTTGTTAAGAATCGAGCTCAAAAAGATAATGCTCGAGTTCGAGTAGTTGCTCAATCTTGTTTATCAGCTCAACTTTAATAAAAACTCAAGTGTGAGCTCGAGCTCTTGACTACTGTTGGAGTTGTTAAACTGCTTAAACAAAATGATGTTTAAATGAATTGCTTGTGAGCTCAACTCGGCCGGAGTTCGGCTCGACCAAAACTCGAGCTCATTAAAAGCTCATTTTTTAATGAGTCAGACATATCATTATGACTTGAACATAAGAATTTTTATATAATTTTTTATAATTTAACTCGTGGAAACTCAAGTTCAACTCGTTAATATTGATAAACGAGACAAACTCCAACTCGATGGTTCATTTACAGTCCCTAATCTTCACACGTTGGATCCTCATGCTTAGCAACTGACTGAAAGCCCAAAAATGTGGGAAAACTAAGAGTACTTTTTACCAAACAAACTGAAGGTCAATAAACAGCAAGCTACAATCCACAACCTAAAGCCAACTTACATACTACTAAAGAAAAAGACTCGAATAACAAGTCGAACAACCTTTTTTACATGAGGATAAAAATAAACGAGTCGCTTTGAACACATATCAACCCAAAAACATCATATTAGCTACCAACGGCTTGTAACATTACTGAGGCATGAAAGAAGGCATGGCTCGTCTAAAATCGAGAGACTTAAGGGCAGATTCCGGGAAGGGCTGTGTGCCGGGCGACCACAGATTGCCATGTGGAGGCAGTATAACCTGAACTTCATTGCTCTGTTCACCTTTTTGTCTAGAATCATTTGCCGGGACTTCCTCCTTTCCTTTTTTCACAAATTGAAAAAACTCGGCAACTTGACGAGCATACCTTCACCCGCAGACGATTGAGACATAAATAAATAAATAAATAAATAAATAAAATTGAGATGGTGCGATTGGATTTCGCAAGATGGAACAAAATAATATCAAGATGCTAAATTCCCACACAATTCACAAGTTTTCATGCCATGACGTACGAGGCGTGAAATTCTTGAACTATAAACCAAGTACATCATTTTTTTTAGGAAGCTTTTTGAGCTCAAAATGTGGGAAAATGAAGAGTAATAAATTTGAAGAGTGCATATTAAGAAACCCATTATCAGACTATGACGGATTTTGCTGCAAAATGTGGAAAATACTCGAGCACATCAATAAAAAAGAAAAGACAATGCGTACTCTCGCTTAGCATCTATGTCCCGGCTGAAATCAATATCTGGCTCACAGTCAAGAACCAAAGCAGGAACCTGCTCATTGCATAACAAAGGTAAGTTATTGGTAATTGAAAAAAAAAAGAAAGAAATTTCATCCAGCAGAAGCAACAGCTGTAGTACAGTAGTAGAAGTAGTAGTAATAATAAATTAGTAATACCTTTTGGATGCTCGAGTGCATATGATCACCATCCAAGTAAAAAACCCGATCCCTTATATTAGGATGCAAAGACCAGTCGACATTACTGGACAGCTTACTCACGGAGAGCACCCCATGATTTCCACTCTGGAAAGGGAAAAGCCAGCTTTCGTGTTTTTCATGCAAATCCCGCAAATAATCAAGAGACACTCCACCCTCTTCGGATCTTTTACGCAACATCATGCGCTTGTGACAAGTGTCAGGGCTTGCTCTGAGGTAGATAAATCCATCAGGAATAAGACCAGGCAAGCTCGAGACAACTGGGTCGAACCACGAGTCATATATACTGATCTCCATCTCGTTCATCCACTTTGCCTCATGAACAGCTCTCACAAAGACCTTCAAGAAAGATTGTTATTCAAAGGTGAGATTATTTACATAACTTAAGACAGTGGTTTTGGATAATGGGTTCATCCCCAAAACCAAAACTCATTTCTCCAAATAAGCCATACAACCCCAACTTTGATTAAATGAAGCAAAAGCAAGAACTGTACTTAAAACTGATTTTTTTTTCTTCAGCTAAAAGCCACAAATCATTAGCTTTTTTTATTCTTTCTAGCCATTTGTTGCAATTGTTGTTAACAAAAGCTCAAGAAGATAAGTCTTACCATCCTATCACTAAAAACACTTCTCTCCATCAGCCTGAGGGGCTTAACCCCACCAGACGACTCTTTCTCCTGCATAACTCTAGTGACAAACACATAGTTCTGGAAAGTGTAAGCATATCTTTCAGGCTCAGCATAGAAAGCATCTAATATGTTAAAGTGGTCGGGGCCTATATTCTGCCACTTGTCGATTGGCTCGGGCACAACCTCCACGAGATCCCTAAGCTCCAGAGTCTCATTAGCTATCCTCTGCAAAAATGTAGTCTTCCCAACACTGATATTTCCTTCAACACACAAAGTGATTCGTTTCTTTTGGAACGGCTTTCGATTGCTCTCCTGCAGTTCTTCATCCACACTCTCTTTGATAAAAGTGGTTATACTCTCAGCATGGTTCTTGTGTATGATACCCACAGAGCTCTGCAAGTACTCTACCATTTTCTCGCTGGATTTACCGAAAAACTGCACCACCGTATGCATGTTTATTATAGTTAGGAGACTATTAAGTTCATAAATCCAGTTTGTCAAAATTACAAATCTCATGACCCAGCTATTCTTAAAGGCTACAAGAAATGTAGGATGTTATAACTGCATGCAAAAACAATGCTGGAAAAGGAAAATGAATGGATAAGTAAAGAGAAAATGAATCTTTTCTCGCCATACCCACAAACAATCCAACCTCGGGCCACAACTCGTACGATTGCACCTTAAACTATAAACCCTGCATATCAACACCAAGTGTCCACCCATTAAAACATGAATACATTTATATTCACATTTTTTTCCTCTCTAATCTTTCGCAACAGCATTCGCTCACTATACTAGCCATTTGTATCACAATTCACAACTAAATTGATAAATGTTACGCCAAAAGGAGATCCAAACTGCAAGATAATCTACTTGTACCTCAATAAAATACGAAAAATACAAAAATAAAAAAATGATGGTGATAAAAGCTTAATTCCAAATACCTTGTCTTTGTAGAGCTGTTTAAGCTGAGCTACACCCTCAAATCCCTTCTCCACCAGCTTCCTCAAATTTCTGGGCCCCACACCTGGTATTGTCAGCAAATCCGGACTCACAGCCACCGCCAGAGGCGCCCCACCATCGCCGCCGGCGCTTCTCTGCCTCCTCTGCACCTTCCCTCTCACATTTTCGTCATCATCCTCCACTTCATTCGCCGTCAACAGCCCACCACCCTCCTTCTCCAAATTACCGGCCTGCGCCGCGTACCAAGCTCTGTGGGCCCCACCCACAACATCGTAGCTCCTCACCTTCGGAGCTACCCACGCCCTAAACAGCGGCTTATTACCGCCGACCTCCACGGAGCAGCCGCAGGGACGACAACAGCAGGAGGGCGTCCGCGTTTCACCGAGCCCGAGTCCCCGACGCGCGGCCATCGGAAGGGGGTTCGTCGACCGGAGACGTGAGGGATGAGTATGGCGGAGAGCGGCGGAGGAATACATCTTGATTATTCTGGAGGTGGCGCCGCTGCTCAAACCCATAGATAGAAAGCTGGGGTTTGAAAGGGGCGTGTTAATGGGTGGAATAAGGTGGCCGGAGAAAGAAGGGCTTCTGCACAGAAGCTTCTGCATAGCTATGGCGCATCTCACAAACAAAACTTATAAGTTCAAACTTAGCAATACGAGTGTTTTTTGGGGGGAGGGTTCGTCTCCGCATAAGGGTTTTTGGGAAGAAGAGGAAAGCA